TATATATATATATATGTATATGTATTGTGTGTGTGTGTGATGTGTGTGAGTGCATGTGTGTGGGTGTGTATACCAGTGTGTTTATATGGTGGCAGCATGAATAAGTAGTGCAGCACCATGAATATTTATATTGTCAATATAATTAGCCATGTTGACTAATGGAGGCCATGTTTTGCACTTGAAGCCAGGCCAATTTTTGCGCTTGTTTATTTTCCACCTTGTTGTTCCCACCGTGGTACTAAATAAGGAGCGTTATTATTCCCAGCACACAATATGCGTTCGGGATTGCATATGTAGCATTAGACATAACATCTCAATTGTTACGTTGTTTTTTTTTTCTTCCAATTATGTCGCATAACAAGGCTGTTGTACTGCCAATGCAGCGCTCATTTGTTTGTCATCAAGTCATTTTCCTTGCCATTTGACATATTCTCTTCAATTTCCATTGAAGCAAATGCAATTATGATGGCGCTTTTGTTGCAGGAATGCTTGCAGTAAGGCCACCCTCATTTTCTATTTGCCAGTATTTGTGCAAGACAACAAGTTATCATAATCTTACAAGATTACAGTCCAATTAAAAAAATATTTTTCGATCATAAAAGTGGTAAAAAAAAATTCCAGAATATAGTCAGAAATAAGGCAGTACAGTGTAATGTATATACTGAAAAACAATCAAGTGGTTGCACAAAATAAAATCATCTCAATCCAGATGTATTTCTATATTAAACTATACATCTACATGTATTAAAAAATAAGTCTTGATAGAGATTTTTTTTTATTTTTAGTGCACTCGCTTGACAAAATAAAATTGAGTAAATTCAACCATGATGTTTTTCAGTGTTTATGGTTTCTTTCTTTTTTTAAGAAAAATAAAGCATGTTTTGGAAAAACTAGTCATTTTACAGGATTTTTTTCCCCACCAAAATTTTTTTTTTTCGAGATTCCAGATCTTTCTTGAAAAAAGTTAATACGAAAAATACAAGTTGACACGGTCCGAACACGAACAAGGTGGAGTGTGGCGCCCGAAAATGCGGACTCAGATAAACTGAGCGAAAAAAATATTTATTGATAGAAAAATGTACCAACAGAAATCGCTGGGAACACCAAAACAGGAAAACCAGATATGCTCGAATTTACACGAGTGGAAGCATCGTTTTATAACGCGAGCCGTACGCTGATTGCATAAAGTGAATCATCATATCTTCTCTTCTTCCGCAGTGTTCGTGCAGGCCAACAAGCTTCAGCAGCACATCTTCTCCGCTCACGGCCAAGAGGATAAAATCTACGACTGCTCGCAGTGTCCTCAGAAGTTCTTTTTCCAGACGGAATTACAGGTGAGCCGCGTCACGCGAAACGCATCTGCGATTCCCTCCCTAACGCCGCTCCGGCTGCGGCTCGGGGAAGGAATAACTTCAGTCCTTTGGAAAACTCATCAGATATGATTTGATTTGCTTATTAGACCGGCAGAGCAGTAAAATATCTGGAATTAAGGGATTAGCCCAATGCTCGGTTTTGAAGCGGTAATTACGCGCAGCGTAGAAGCAAAAACACGGATGGGGTGAGTCAGAATGGCTGCATCTCGCCGTGGAATCACAAGGAGGCCTCGTGGCTAAATATGAGTGTTTTCCTCGAGGGGGGAGGCGGTGGGGGTGGGGGTTTGGCATATCTGCCCTTCAACAAAGTTACTAGTTGGACTTGTGAACTCGTAGCGTTGGAGAGATAATCCATTTTCTGGTAATCTTTTTTTCCCTTTCTTTTCTCCTCAGGGATTGTGAAAAAATGAAACCGGCCTTATTATTTTATTACACGAGTGGTGTGTTCTTGCGGGTGTGTGTGTGTGTGTGTGTGTGTGTGTGTGTGTGTGTGTGTGTGTGCGTGTGCGTGTGCGTGTGTGTGTGTTTGGGGGATTCTCCATAGTGCGTATGGCATCATTTTTTTATTACGGTTTGAAGATGAATCATTAAATTCCTACTCCATAAAGCACCTTGTTCTGCTCTAATCACTGGCGTTTTCCCTTAATTTGCCAGCGAGGGTAAAAAGAAACAAATGAGGTGCTAGTCTCCAAACGCGGCTTCCTGAATGCCGGATTAGCAGGTAGCCAGAGGATGCACCTTCCACATTTATGCATGGACGGCCAGTTTGCGAGTCAGCCAGAAGGAAGGTGAATGTGATCGTTATCTGATGGTCATTTGATTTCTCCAAGCATGAATTAAATAAATACCAATTCTGGATTATTTACCCCAACATCACATGTACATGCTTTAACTACATAATTTCGTCCAGACAAAGTAAGCGATCTTAGTACTAACATATCGGGCCCTATTTTCATGACCAGCGCAAGTTGATTGCAAAATGTTGGCTAACTGTGCGAATGGATAGAGTTTTCATTCTTTTGGTAGTTTGTTAAACAGAAAGGGGTGGTTGCGCTGTTGTAGGAGTAAACACAACCGTTGTTCCGAAGCCAATGAAATTACCTTTGAATTCAGCACAGGAGAGGTGTGCACACATGCACCTTTCTACGAAAATAGAATCAGTAATGTAAAACGTCATGGATGGGAAAACTGAAATTAGCAAAGATGTTGGTTTATGTTCATGGTTTGGATCCTGGGCAAGCAGGACTTTTTGCATTAGCCTTGGTTGCTCTGAGTTCCACTCTGCCCCACTGTCGTATGGTGTTCCACCTGTTTCAATTTTGGGGCCACTGCTGTTCTTATTGTATTTGCTGCCCCGGGGTTGCATCGTAAGAAAGCATAGGATTTCCTTTCACTGCTATGCAGATGACAGTTAGTCCCACTAAGCAACAAGGATGATGTCTCCTTAAGGCCATTTTTGTCTGGAGGAAATCAAAGCCTGAATGACACTAAACTTCTTGAACTTCACCAAAAGAGAAAAGAGAAGTTATGGTGTTTGGTCCCAGTGTCCCTTAAATATCTCGTCCTGTTGATTTGGGCACCCTTGTGTCTTATCTAAAGCCAGCAGTCTTGAATTTGGGGGTTAAATTAGACAGCCATTTTAAATTGGATCGATCAGATATATATATGCAGGTACACACACACACACACTTTGATTGTGGTCGTCGTACTCCGAATGGTGCAAGTTGTGAGTTGTCCAAGTAGTGGAGTTCCTTCACCGTCCACGTCTCCCTGACACACGCTGCTCCTTTGTCAGTCCATGTGAAGTAGGGACTGCCTTTCAGCAGCGCGAGAAGTGGAAGCTCCCGGTGTTTGCCGTGTCTCGACTTTGCACTTTTCTCCCCGACACTTTGGCTCCTCTTCTCTCGCCGTAGTTGCAGGGGTCAAGGGTGCGGCCGGCACGTAGAGCCGCGGCGGCAGGTGAAGGCGAGCAGGAAGGATATTTTATTCATTTGCTGCCGAGATCCTGGAACAGACCAAAGGCTGTGACAGGTATCCAGCGTGCGGCGCCTCGCAGCCTCTTCCTACTCCCCCCCCCCCCACCAGCCCCCCTACTGGTGAACTCTACCCTGCGAGGGGGCTAGCCAATTTTCGCCAGCCTGTCGAGATGGATGATGGGAGTGCATCCGTCTAATCAGCCCTCTGAGGACCCCCCACCCGGCGGCCCCCCTCAGACTGGTCAGATTGACTGACTCCTGGGCCACTGTGCCCTGGAATCCACATTCCAGAGGAGAATAATCTCCTTCCCTTCACAGACAAAACAATACAAGTCAGATGCATGCACCGGCGTTCCTTCCACAACTCTCCGGAGGCTACCCAACCCCCGCCTTCACACTCTGCACCCCTTTCTCCTCCACCCCATTAAAATATCGAGCAAAGTCGAGATATTTCATGAGGTGCTGATGGGGAGGGCAAGCACTCGCTGACCCTCAGTGAGACGCATCCGTGGCGCGATAGAATCTCCCGCTTGTCTTTCAGTTAAAGCAACTCGCGCCTCCTCTTACGAGACAAAAAAAAAAAAAAGTCCCCCCCCTGGGCGGTTGCGAAAGCCACACTGCAACACGAGACCCGATAACAAAGTTCCTCCGCAACGCCGCTCGGCCCGGATTAATTAGGCAGATTCATTAACTGATGGACGCGCGCTATTAGCCGCAGCTTAAATCTGACATCTCGACGAGAGTGCGGGGAGTCGGTTTAAGAAGAAGCGCTTAAGTTTGGATTCCGCAGCGATGCGGCGTCGCAAAAAGGAAGCGATTTTGGGGTGTTTCTCTCTCGATTCGGGAGCTGCATTTGAAGGCCGGACCGACTCAAAGGCTCCTACCAATGCAGTCTTCATTTGGGAAGGTTCTTTACAAGAGAGACATTGACAAGTCAACTTTTCATGAGGAAAATTCCTCACCAAGATGTCATTTATGATAAATCGTCAAGTGAATAAAATCAATGAATAACATATTTGGAGTAAACCATGTCACTTTATTTGATGAGAACTATGTCGAGCAAAAATCGAGAGTGCCGCTTCCTCGAGAGCCATATCCTGACTGGTTTGGAGCTCTCTCGACTTCACCACACCTGATTCGATTGATCGTGATTGTTTCAGGCTTCTTCAGAGCTTGCTGATGAGCTAATCGTTTGATTCAGTCGGGAGGGATCTAAAACAGGCAGGATACGGCTCTCGAGGAACCGGAGTTCCCTACCCCTGAAGTAGAGTGTCAAGTCATAATCTGGTCAGACTACTTACGGTAGTCATATTGTAGTAGTTGTATAGTCTTTCGAATAAAGTTAATGACATTATTTTTTTGTCTAAAAATGTATATGAATATAATATTTTAAAACCTAATCAGGCTATGATTCATTCTTCATGTACACTATATACTGTTGAATCCTACTTACGGTAGTCATATTGTAGTAGTTGTATAGTGTTTCGAATAAAGTTAATGAAATTATTTTTTTTTGTCTAAAAATGTATATGTATCTAATATTGTAAAACCTAATCAGTATATGATTCATTAGTCATGTACACTATATACTGTATAATAGTATAATTTTTCTAGAACAGACTGATAAATGTCACAATCTCTCGGCTTTTCATAGTAACAAAATTGTAGTCTTACGAGTAGTCATGAATTCTTCTTCAATGAAGAAAACAAGTTGTAATCTTTCAAGACTGAAGTTGTAACTTCACTGAGAAAAGTTTTTTTTTTCAAGGAACCAGTTGTGTTTGTTTCTCACAAGACCTTCACTACAGTAATAAAATTTGACAAGGAGAAAAATTGAAACCCACAATGTCGTTATAAGATGAGCTAACTGTTGCCCAGTTTCTTCTATTTCTAATACTTCTAATAATCCTACGATGATCTAGCATTTTTCAAATGACACCTTCAAATGTTGTTTTGCATGTGAAGCACGTTGAGTTACCTCGTGTGTTTCCGTTGGTTGGTCCGAGCAAAACTTGTTCCATCCAACTCTGACTAACAAAGCACGCCTGTAACGGATGGCTCACAGTGAGTAGATTTCATTTACTCCGATCCGCTTATCCTCACAAGAGCCATGGGGCATGCTGGAGCCTATCCCAACTGTGTTCGGGCAGTAGGCGGGGGACACCCTGAACCGGTTGCCAACCAATCGCAGGGCACACAGAGATGAACAACCATCCGCACCCACACTCACACCGAGGGACAATTTCAAGTGTGCAATCAGCCTGCTATGCATGTTTTTGGAATGTGGGTGGAAACCGGAGTACCCGGAGAAAACCCACGCAGGCCCGGGGAGAACATGCAAACTCCACACAGAGAGGCCGGAGCTGGAATTGAACCCGGTACCTCTGCAATGTGAGGTCGACGCGCAAACTACTGGACCACCGAGCCCCTATTTCATTTCAATGTTTTCAATTATTTTGTCATGGTAGTGAGTAAATAATCAAGCAATCAATCAATCAAACTACCTATGAAGCCCTGGATTCCCGCCCCCCTTAAACGCCGGCAGGACACCTGCCTTAATTGGACCACCTTTCCAAAGGATTCCTTCAAAGGCAATGGCTTCATCCTTAATGAGTGCCGCGAGTGACGAGCGTACGTGTGCATCGGGTTCTGCTCAAATGAGAGTCTCCTCTCCCCGCATGATGCCAGTGATTGCCACGCTGTGACCAATTCCAGCGTTTTAATTAAGCGTATTTATTGGCTTGGCGGTCACCGGGTCAGCGTAAACAGCCACGTGCCATTCGCCCAGCGCCGAAATTGAGGGGAATGGACGGCCAGAAAAGAAAAAAAAGCGGGCGAGTAAGTGCATGCCACAATTAATTAAAATAGAAAAAACACATTTGCATTAATAATGGCATTAAAATAATATATGATGCAACTGCTACAGTTTTCTCACATATTGAATGGTGATCTTGCAGTGACCAATGTGATTTGTTTGTCAAAGAC